AATGTTGATGGCTACCATTTGAAAAGAAAAGTATAGAGGCCAACTGCTTACTACTATAAGAATTGATGCTGATGACTTACCCTATTGCATATGCTGTGACAGAGATTGAAAATACTAAAATATGAACTTAGTTCATTAAAAGATTTATAGAGGATCTGAATATGGAAAATTAGTTTAGTTAGACTTAGATGTCTAATAAACAAAAAGTGAATTAACTTCTATTTAAAGTGTTTTGTCTAATCATTTATTTTTTATCATAGGGTTTGAAAGCTTCATTTAAAAAGCTATTCCCAAAATCAGAGTATAGATGTTGTGTAAGACATTTACATAACAACTTCCAAAATGATGGTCACAGAAGGAAGGCTTTAAAAGATACTCTATGGGCTACAACAAGGGCAAGCCATATACAATAATTTAATGCAATTATGGACAAGATAAAAGAGAAGCACTTAAAAGCACATGGCTGGCTTACAGAAAGGCCAGCACATGAATGCTCGAGGTCTTATTTCAGCATAGTCCCTAAATGTGATATTCTACTTAACAATTTGTGTAAATGTCTCAACAAGTACATTTTGAATGCTAGAGACAAGTCAATTTGAACTATGTGCAAAATAATCAGGCGCAAATTGATGAATAGATTCTATATGAAGAGGAATGCAATGAAAAAGTATTCTGGGTTGATTTGTCCAAGGATTCAGAAGAAAGTTGACAAGAACAAAGAATTATTTTTGAAGTACTAATTGTAACCATCTACACAGAGAATATTTGAAATAAAAAAAACCTAACAGACCAATACATAGTTGACCTAGATAAATAGTCATGTAGTTGTAAGAAATGGGAGTTATCTAGTATTCTTTGTCCACATACAATTTTTGCAATTTTGTTCAACAAGGAATAGGTTAAAGACTATGTGCATGAATATTACTTTGTTGATAGACAAAGGAAAATTTATAAAGAAGCCATTAATCTAATCAGGGATGAAAATTGTTTGCCTCCTTATGACTACAAGCCAAAACCTCTAGAGGTGCAAATAAAACAACCTGACAGATTTAAGACTAAGATAAAAAAAGAACTTAATGAAGTAAGTACCACGGATGCTAAGGTTAGGAAAACATATGTCACAATGTCATATTTTAAATGTGGACAAAAATGTCATAATAAAAGGTCTTGCAAGAACATTCCCTAGGTACAATCACTGTAGTTAATATTTATAATTTCAAAATTTTATGTAATTTAGTTAAATTGATACTATTTATTTCAATTTGTTTCCTATCCAACAACAGCAAATTCCCTAATCTAATGGCAGCATACCACCAATAGTAGCAAATATCTAATAGCAACAACCTACCACCAATATCAAACTCCCAACGACAGTAACCCACCAATAGCAATCCACAAATAGCAAAAACCCACTACCAATAGCAAACTTTCAATAATAGCAACCTCTAACAGTAACAACTCACCAACAGCAATAACTCACCAATAACAACAACAGTTAGGTTAGTTAGTTCCAATTCCAGCAACAAAGAATACCAACAATAACCAATCATCAATAGCAGCAATAACCAGTTTCATTGCATAATGTAATACTTAAATTATGTATATTTATATTAGTTAATAATGGTTTACCTATATATTAATTTTGTTTAACCATCTTGGTTTGTTATATTTAAGGGTTCAAGTCAAACTATATACCATAACAATCCATCATTGGTGCGCAACATTCACAAAGTGATACACAAAGTGTAATGTTGAATCTTACTCTTTCTCCAACTCCAACTCTGACTCCAACTTCTAATGAAGTAAGTTACCTGAAATTTTGATTTTTGGTTTGCTTTAGGGTTACTGTCAGATTATTTTTTTTAGTAATTTTTATCTTTATGTGCAATTTAGGGTTCAACATCTCTTTCATAAAATTCAGCTTTTGTGAAAAGATTGTTCAAGTATGTTGCCCGAAAGCCTATGGCTAAGTAGAAAAAGGTCCAGAAGTTTGTACGATGAATGAAATTTATAGTGTGAAAGATAAGTATGTTTTGTCATACACTATATTTTTTGTTAAAACATTGTAATTTTTTATTAGAACATTGTCTTTAATTGTGTCGGTAAATTGTGTTTGATTTGCTAGGATATTTTATGTAGCTAGTTTAGGGTTTGAACTTATTAGCATTGAAATGTATAAAACTTTACAAAGTGCAGAACTGTAGTCGATTAAGGTTTGTTAGGAACTGCATTTTTTATTATAACATTTAGTATTTTGAAGTGTACAAAACATGGCTAGCATTAAAGTGTACAAACTTATATTTTGTTCCCATTTGAAATGAAAATACGAAATTATTACTTATGTATGGAAGTGTTATATAAACTTGTAGTCATTTCTATAAAATAGAGTTATTATTACTTATGTATGTTCCATAATCATTACTTATGGAAGTGTTTTATAAACTTATTGCTACCAAAGAGCAGTCAACTGCTTTCTGTTCTATTCTTAGGATCATTCTATTGATTTTGATGTGAACATAATCATATTACACAAAATATGATATTACAAAAAATATAATCATATTACATAGTTTACAAATATACCATTTTATGAACAAATTTGCATTAATACCCATGAAACATATTCATACTCAAAATGTGTAAGTTTATAAACATAAACAGTTTCCAATCAATAGCATAATATTACAAGCTAATTACCCTAAACAGTATACTAAATTTTGTTCAATTTCTTTCCAACAACATCATAAAAATAACTACAAGCAAACACATTACAATCCACTTCCAATTTTTATGCTTGCAATTGTTGTTGTTTGCATTATGTGAAAGGACTTGATTTTGATTTTTCATTCTTCGTAGCCTCCTTAATAAATCTAGAATGACTGCCTTGTTGTGTTCATCTATTGGAGAATCACATTATTGAAAAGACTCACATGCACCAAGTTGCTACAAATTTAAACAAAAATCATCACCAAATTAAAGGAATGAAAGCACACTAAATTAAATAAATAAAAATCATAAAACCATGATTTGCTACCTATTGTTGCTACTTGCTACCCATATCAAAACAATACACCCAATTTTTGGTATTCTTAAATATCTATAAAGTTACCCATTTCAAAAAAATAAAATATTGTGTGCTTACCCCATAGTTGTTATAATTGAAAAATTGATGGCTTGGGTTAATGTCAGTCTATGATGTCCTAATTCGAGCTTGTTGACCATAATAAAAATAGGTAACAAGCCTATATCTTTCATATGGTAACCCGTAGCTTCTCTCTTTCAACCATTGGCTTTTTCTTTCAACTTTTAATGGGCTTCTTACTTTAAACCTCAAGCTTCTTCCTTTCAAACTCCCTTTGTTTTCCTCTTCAACACTCATAGCTCCTCCTTTTCAAACCTTAGCTCCCCCTTTCTCTTCAACACTTGAAACTTTTACAAGATCTAACTAGTTTCTTTTCTTTAAATGTTTAATTCTTTTAGGTAAAACATTAAAATTCTTTTGTTTTTTTTATTTGCTGAGTTGGCATTCAAAAATTTCCATGTCATACAAGTTCTTTAGATTATGTGTCATGCCACATAGGATTTACTATTAATTTAAATGGTTCAGCTGACGGAGGGATCACATTGACACACATTCGGGTAATTGAGGACTTGATTATAACTTTTTAAAGTTAAGGGACCAATATAGAATTTGGCATATAATTTAGGAACCACGCGTGTTATTAATCCTTAAATTTAAATAATCTCAAATAAAAAAATTAATTAATGATTTATATAGTGATGATGTTTTTTTGTTAATTTCTATATCTGATAATTTTGAACATGACACGATGACACGACATGAAAATGATGCAAAAAAAATTATATATAGGTTTAGTGTAATTATGTTTCGTATCTTAATCATGTCAACACGATTAAGATACAATATTATTCATGTTATGTTCGTGTCAAACAATGATGACACGCTTGAGACACGTTTAAGATACAGTATTGTTCATGCAAGCATATATAATATACAAACTATACAAATAATTTTAATTTATTTCTTAAATAAATTAATAATCATATTTATTATGTTTAAATAAATTATAAATTTTTTATTTTTAAATAATTTTTTGTTTAAATACTAATTTAAATAATTTTTTTGTTTAAATAAATAGATTAATTGTATTGAATTATGTTAATTGTGTCGTGTTGTATTACTTGAATTGTGTTAAATAATTAATTTTAATCGTATTAATTATATCGTATCACGTATAACACGTATAATAAACATATCATATTTATGTTTAGGTTATTCATGTTAGTTAACTATTCATGTCCTATTCATGTCAAAATTATTCGTATTATGTCTAAAACCATGTCTGATATGAAACATAACATAATAACAGGTCTCAATAATAAACTTTTGGAGTATGTTATGGTGCTTTTGGAATAAACAATCTTTCCCATATTGTTGCTTGCGTGTCAATGCCAATTGCCAAATGTTTCATTTTTAGTAGGTTTGGTGCTAACCGAAAGTGGGAGAACAAAAGGCTATGAAATTAGTATTTTGAGTATAACAATGGAGGATAGATTCTGGTGCGGTTAAGCTAGCTGATGTAAAAACAATTGATGTAAGCAATTGAGTGGGAATCTTGATAAACCAGAAGCCAAGTAAATCTTGAAAATTTTATTAATTTAATTATTAAAATTTATAATTATTTTTAAATATTATTATTTAATCATTAAATTAACATCTTTTTTATCAAATAAAGTCTCCGAGGTGATAATTGGGTTTATTCTTGCTTCTTTACTTGAAGCAATGGCAATTGGATAACAAAAGACAGAGGATTTGGGGAACTTTATAAAGAATTTGCACTAAAATACGAAACTACGTTTTTACTAAGCTAAGCTATACAAATCTCATTGAGCTGCACTCCTGAAACTATACCAAAGCCTTGTTGATTAAACCAGATCAACAATAGAAGTGAGAAACAGGAAACTTCCAGGGGAAAGAAATGAACTATTCTCCTCCTCAAGGGTCTCCTTCACAGGATGGTTATCCACAGTCAGGGAAACCAGTTGGTGGCTACGATGGTGAGGGTCCTCCAAGGGGCAAGAGCCACCACCAGAAGCAACAGCGGCAACAGCAAGCATCTCCAGTGAGGGTTCTTCCACAAGGGCATATTCTTCCACAAAACAATAATCCTCAAAGCATTCAACTGGGGGTTTCTTCTTCATTAGGATATCCTCACAATCAACATTCTAGTCTTCCAGGTTCTCAAAGTTCCCACAATCAACCTCACCAACAGCAGCCAGCTCCGGGAGTCCTTTCACATGGATATCATCCCAAAGATAATCATCATAGTCGAGATAATCGTCATAGTCGCAACCAATTCCATAAACAGGAGACTTCAATCCAGGATCCTTCACGAAGTGAAAGTTCAAGCAAAACCCAGCAAGAGCTGATTCCCTCAAAAGGCTCAGTTGAAAACCACATGGATCCTCCAAAGAACCCTACTCCCACAGCATCTGATTTACCAGACCATGGAGAAAAGCATCTTTTACAGACTAACGATGAACCAACACAACAGCCTAAGTCAGCGGATCACAACAATGGCTATCAGCAAAAACCACATCGACAGCCACAGCCACCTGAAGGTGCTGCATCGTCACGGGAGCCTCTTCCAGTTCCAGAAGGGTACCCACCAACACAACAGCCTATGTCAGCAGATCAGACCAATGGCTATCAGCAAAAACCACATCGTCAGCCACAGCCACCTGAAGGCGCTGCATCGTCACGGGTGCCTCTTCCAGTTCCAGAAGGGTACCCACCACCTCGACCCCCGACTTCACCGTCTAAGCTGGAGCCTCGTCGGAAGAAAGGATTGTTAGAGAAAATATTTTTCTGTTGTTTCTGATAATGTTAACCTTAAAATTGAGGCTGATCACTCTTTGGAGCATCTTTAATCATGTTTATGGCAGATTCATTGCAACAGATTCTTTGCTTTGTAGATACATATGTTCTGCTAGCTCTTGTATATTATTCTCTTAATTATATGTATTTTTTTTTATTCATTGGGTATTTCAAAAACCTTGATTAAAACTAATGACCCAAATTTTCGATTTTTTTGGTCTCTCACACAAACTAAATTAACTGGATAATCGAATTGATCAAATTATTAAGTAGATTCTATTGATTTGATCACTCAAAAAGAAAATTTTCATTCAAAATTTTGTAATCTATTAGAAGAATGTCGAACTTTTAACATTACAAGAAGACATATTGAATGTTACAAGGCTTAATGCTTAAATAATGTAAGCGATTTCCAGTATTTATGCACCAAAAAAAATATAGAATATAGAATTATAATTCTTATGTATTTCTTTATATAAATGAATGGAAACATTTTGGAATTGAAGTATGGTTTGCTTTAAGGAGTAAGATATGTTTCTATTACTACAAGGCCATTGATTTTACACTTTTGGCCAAGAAAGGGGCACCAGACCATAGCAAGCATCATTCCATACTAATTATTGGCAAGGGTTTCCTGGTTTATGAGAAGATTTACTCACCAAGGGATGCAAGGAACCACCCTAACAAGCCTGGGGTCAAAATCCAGTGGACCAAGCTCCAAGTTCTACTTTTCAATACCACCAGTCACCATATTTCTTTAACCATCATCAATTTGTTTAGTTACTTTAAACTTGGGGAAGAAATTAAACAAAATCATTTTGTAAATGTCTTTTATGCATCAATCATCATATAAAAATGCATCTCACCTCTTTTTTATATGATGAAGTGAGACATGAGGTTGGCACAATTGGTTAAAATTTAAAATCTGGATGTAAAGTATCATGGTTTGAATTCTCAAAACCTTTTATTAATAGATGATTTATACGTCCGAAAAGTCTTAAAGGATGAGTTAGCGGCTTACCTTCATTTTGAAAATGAGTAATTTCTTATAGTTCTAAACTTTTATGGACCAAAAAAATGTCTCACTTCCCCCTACCTCTCTCTTCAATAACTCTACTTTAATTAGTATACTCTGAAATTTTTGTTTCTAGCCAATTGTTTCTTCTTTCCATTTATCAGGAAAAGAGACCCTGCCAAAAACCTGTGATCTTAGTAGAATACTGTGATCACAGTATAATATTGAACGTTTAATTTTAATAATTAATGTTCCATTTTGATAAATTCAAATATATATATATATATAACTAGCTTGATATTTGATTACCTGTCTTCGTTTCAGCTTCCCAGAGTACCTGACAAGAAAATTCTTGCCTGGGGAGGGAAAAAGCTTTCTTGTAATTGATAAGATTTGAACAACTCATCAATTGCCAGGTTCTGCTATCAATCAAGATTCCCCATCTTTAATATGGCCACCAATATTTTATTATAAGAAATAAAAAGTTGAACTGTTTGTAGCGTAAAAAACGAAATATTTGTAAATATTAAAATTTAAATATTAAATTTGTTAAGTGTTCATTTTTAAAATTGATTATACGATTAAATCAAATTTTATATTCGAAATACTTTTATTTAGGTATAAATTAACCTGTGATATTCTAATTGCTGAGCTTGGGAGACTGCAGAATTCAGGAGTGGAATATTGTTTCTATATGTCTTTTTTTTTTCTTTTCTAAACTGCGTTTATGGTAAGCAATATATGTCTACTTCCTCCAACCTTACCTTATCCTCCATAAATCAAACCAGTTCAAAACCTTCTTTAAAATTCTTTCCTTCTAGAAATTGAAAGACAAAAATCGAATCAACAAGTAGAGAAAGAACTAAGTAGGAGACTTCCAGGAGGGGTAAAGGATGAGTCATTCTTCAAAAGGGTCTAATATTGCAAAGGATGTTGATCAAGATCAACCCTCCAGAGATGAAGGTGATGGCTACAAAGATGGAGATTCTAAACGGAAGCAGTTGAGTTCCCAAGACCAAAAGCATCAGCAATTTTCAAGTGGCAATAACCCTCGTCAACCAATGAAGTTGATCGAGGGATCATCCAACAAATCTGAGGTTCAAATTTCATCGAGAGAACAAGCTGATACAGCACATCCAGAGCGCCATGCTCAAACACAGGATTCAAGTGAAAACAAAGAGACACCAGCTGCAACCCCGATTGTCTTGCATAAACGACCGCAGCCACCGCAGCCTACTGAGCCTTCTTCTGGTGGTGGTTGTTCCTGTTGTAGCATTTTATGAAACCCCAATTGATCACTTCTCAAAAAGTACTGAAATTACTTGGTACAAAAGCATGCATTTTCAACGTTGAAATAGTTTATTTTTCATGTTTCCCCTCAGCCTACCTCTCCATGTTAATATAGCTTTGTTCATGGAATGAAATATTTCATATTTGTGGCGTTGGATTTCCATCTTTAATGATGTTCATGGAAGCTAAATGTTGAAAGAAAATCCTGATATAAGCTTTTAAGAGAACCAGGGAAAACTTGAAAGCCACCAACCATGCCAGTTAGCATTTTACTTACATTAATGTATGTTGTCTTTGCTTCCATTTGGCATCTTCACTGTGTCCAACTACTGCTCTCCACTTCAAAAGCCTAAATATTAAAGCTTGAAAAAAAAAAAAAAAGATTTTATTGCAAATGAATAGAGCTCAAACAGAAGTAATCTGTGGAAGAAATTTTGATGGGAAATTTTAGTATTTTACATTCAATTTTACCGATTAATATAAAAATATAATCGAATCGAGTTGAAACACTATCAAACTCAAGTTTTGCTTGACTTAAAAATTAGTAGTTCGAAGCTCGATTTGAGCCCGAATGGCAGAACCTTGTAGTGCCAGAACATTATCCATCTTTAACATCAATCTTGGAAACGGAATATTAATTTGTTGAAATGCCACAGCTGTTGTTTGAGGAAGTGTCCAATATAAGCTTATTGATGAAGTTAGTTGCTTGATTTTATTCTTTGATTCAGGACAATCTGGTGGGTTTTTTCTTGATCCTTTACTTGAAGCAATGACTCTAAAATATTTCCTTATGCTTAAGGGCCAATGTCAAATCCTTCATGTTCAATAAATATTAAAGAAATTAAACCGAAACTTCAATCAATTTATTTATACAATTATTTTTAAAATTAAATCCATCAGATTTTAAATTCAATTCCCGTCAACTGTATTTCCTTCCTTTATACGATTTGATAAACAAAAACCTCATTCATGAACTACAATAAACACCTCAAGAAATTAAAACAAATTCCTTTTTGAAAGAAGATATCAGTTCCGAATTTATAAAGAAAGATGTTAAATGCACTTCACCTTTTTATTTACGCATTTCATCATTTTTTTTTATTTTTTTAAGTAAAATTATTTAATTATTCTCTCTTCTTTATACAAATTTTCGAAAATGAATTTCTCAAAAGTCCTAAACCTTTTTGAAAATAAATTTTCAAAAAAATATAAATTTTTAAAAATGATTTATCAAAATATTATAAATCTTTTTGAAAATATATTTTCGAAAAATGGGATAGTGAAAATTTAAGAAACATTTTAAGTAAAATTTTCATTATTTCACCTTCCAGAAATGAATTTTAGGAAAACCATTTTTCTGAAAATTTATTTTCTAAAAAATTTATAATTTTTTAAAAATCCAGTAAAATTATATAATTTTTAAAAAATTCATTTTTAAAAATTTATAAAACTCTAAAATTTTATGAAAAAAATAATTAAACAATTTATGAAAAAAATTTTAAAAAAATCACGATGCAAAAGAAAAAAAAAAGAAACTGCATTTACCAGCTTTCTTTCTTAGAACTTGGATCTCACTCTTGATTTTACAATAATAAACGTTATCTTATATAATATTATATAATATCAGGTTATGGTACTTTGTTGGGTAATGTTGGTGGCAACTTCTGTGTCCCACTATTACTTTCCAGCACAGATCAAAGATAAGAAATTAAAGGTTGAAAGAAAAGCTTCCATTGGGAATGATTGGAGCTCAAACAAAGAAGCAATCTAAGAGAATAAGGTTAGTTTAACATTGAGGTTGAAAGTAAGGGATTTTTGCATTCAAAAGTTGCTATTGCTTTAATCTTAACGTTAAACAATAAAAATAAATAAAAAATTTTTATTTAAAAAAATCGAACTCAATCTGCCAATCCAATGTGATACTCCAATTTTATGTCAAGAGATTTTGAAAATTTGTTTTAATATATCAATAGATAGTTAAATTCAAACTTACAAGACACCTTTTATAGAATAAAACCATAAGCTCTGCTGATCAAAACAAACAATGTCTCACAAATTAGATACGAGTTTTCACATCCAAACCAAAAAAACTATTTATAAATATGCTTTTACAATTAACCATAATTTCTTTTACCCTTTTTTTTAAATTTCAATCGGTCACAGCATCTTTTCATGACGATACTAAATGCTTAAAATTCTTAAATCATTTTATTTTTCATAACATTTTTAAATGCATTTCATTTTATCCAAACTTTTTTTATCCGCAATAATAAAAACTCTCTTTAATCACAACAGCAATACTAAACTAAAACATGAATCTTATATTCTTCGGTCTCACTCCTTTGTTGGGTTTATTCTTGCTCCCTTCCTTCAAGCTATGACACTATAATATTTTTATTGGCCTTTTTTATAAACTTGCGTCAACAGTAAGCTAATGCTCTCAAAACCTTCAGGTTCAACAAAAATGCAGGAAAACCAACCCAAGAATTGCAGAAAGGAACAGAAAATACCTCCTGAAGATGTAAAAGATGAGTAATTTTCATCAAGGTTCTGCTCCAAAGGACAGTCATCGACAGGTGCACTCGAGTAGCAACAACAACCAAGATGAAGATTTCAGTGAGGAGGATTCACCATTGATGCAGATGAGCGGTGAGAACCAGATCCAGCAGCTGCAGCAGCAGCAGCAGGTACCACAGATAATTAAAGGGGCTCCTTTGCCTTTAAAAGACAGTGATACTAAGGAGAGTAGTCGAATTTCCAGCCATTCCCAACAACAGGCTTTGGTTAAATCTCCACAAGGATGTCCTCCAAAAGATGAGACTCTTCTGAATCATCAGAGGTCCTATCCTGGTTTCCAGCAACAACAGTCTTCAATTAAGGTTTCTACTTAACAGGAACATTCTTCAAAGGGTGATCACCTTACAAACACTCAAAATACCTACCATCCGCCACAGCAGCAGTTGTTGACTGGGGCAACTTCTCTGCAAGAACAACCTCAGCCACGTAACCAAAGTTCCAATCCTTCCAAACAACAGCAATCTCCAATTTCGGCTCTCCCTGCAAAAAACAATCATCCTGGAGAGAGTAATCAAAGTTCCCATCGATCACACCAAGAGCCAGCTCCTGTTACAGCTCCTTCAGAAAGACATGTTTCAGAAGATGATAATACTGCAAGTCCTCAAAATTCCAAGCATCTCCAGCAACAGCCATTGGATTGCTTACAAGGTGAGCCTCCCAAGCAAGCGAATCCTATGACAAAACCTTCAAACACAAGCAACACACAACAGGACTCCACAAATTGCTATGATCCACACAAATCACAATCATCTTCAATTAAGGATCCTTCTGCACAAGGGCATGCAGCTCCTCTCAAATCAGAAGCGCATGAGAGTGTACATCAGAAAACTGTTACTAAGCAGAAAGATGAAGCTTCAACTGGAAAAGTCGCTACAACAAGAGTTGAATGGTCACCTAAAAATCCTGGTGTAACAAGAACTCATTCGAAATCGACATCTTGTTGTCCATGTTCCATCCTATGAAACCACAAATGATCTCCATTGGAGTATTATCAATCATGTTTCCATTTTGAACAAAGAAGAAAAGATCATGTACTTCATAGTTGATCTCTAGTCCTATGGATAGGGAAAAAGATTCTACTTTGTACATACAATTTCCTTCAAAATCATATAGTTTGCTCTCCAATAATTCAAAGATATCAATCACAAAAATCAAACGCAATAAACACTCATAATAAACCACAATGTACACCTAAGTAAAGAAAAAAGAAAAGTTTACAACAAACTCCTCATTTTTAGTCAATGATATAAACATTATTCTCCAAAAAAACTATAAAAATTCAATACAAAATTATGCATAATAATTAATAAAGTTTTCATTGACCCTTTCTCTCTTTCTTCAAGTTTCATTAAAGTATTATAAACCAAGAAACCTGGACTTAGTTCAGGTAGTTTATGCATGAATATGATTTCCAGCATATCCGAGATTCAAATTACAGCACTTGCATTATTTTTTCCATCCAATAAATGTAGAGATCCATAATCAACCTGCAAGATATTTTTTCGCTTTGATGCGAAAGTTTCACGATTTTATCGTATAAAAATTACACCACAAACATAGATTTAAGCCTCAACTTATATATTATAACTAATCCTGGTAACATCTTAATGTGGGATTAAAGTGCCGACCCCCCTTGCATAAAAAAGTAAAGAAATAAATAAAATAAATAATAGCTTTCACAATTCAGTGAATTTCCCTTTCTTCAACAATAAAAGTATCAATACATTACAGATTACCATAACTTCATATTGACTGAAAAACCCAGGAAAGGAAAGAGGAAATGGAAATGAAATCATACCCAAAAATTTGAAAGAATTCAAGTTTTGGGTGATGAAGATTGAGGAGGTGGCCAAACACTAACTTTTTCTTTCTCATATTTGACAAACAAAGCCCCGACCGCCGCAACAAAATAAATCTGAATTAAAATAATCGCCGGCGTATGATAACTTATCACGCTCTTACCAGTAGCCAATTCCACCAAAACCAAAGCGGTCAACCCCAGAATAGCGATGCGCCCGTTTATTCTCTCGCTGTATGGGCTAAACCCGAAATCCACTTTTAACCCATTCGAAATCGCTTCTTTTAAAGGCACTGGAGGGAGGTAGATAGAGGAGGAGGAGGAAGTGGATCCGGATACTGATCCGGATTTCCTTGATTTTCGGAGCTGCGCTTTTTTGCCGGTTCCACTTCGGTAACGGAAGCGAACTCGGGAGAGGCGGGATTCGAATGGGTCGGAGTCAGGCGAGGTGGAAGAGGAGGAGGAGGACGACGACGACGACGACGATGATTCGGGTTTCGTTGAGGATGAGTCTGAGTCAGGAGTGGCGCGTGGGGTGAAGGAAAATTGGGGTTTGGGGAGCACGTGGAGGAGTGCGCGTGAGAATGGTAAGGAAGTTGTTGGTAGTTTGGTAGATGAAGCTGTAGGAGGAAGCGCTGCCGACATTTTCGGTGGTTGTTTTGTTGTTCACCTCAGTTCAGACCTCTCCGTCGGATAAGAAATCGAATCTCTGTTTTTCTTTTTCTTTTTTAAGATTTAATTAATTAATTTCCTTTTTCATAAAACGAATATTTGAGGCGATAAATTTTAACTGGTGGAACTTCTTTGGGTTAGATTTTTTTTTTGCATTTAAAAAATTGTTGGGCTAAGGCAGAATACTCTGTATCCATTGTTAAAAGCCCAATTAACTTTGCGAAGTGGAAATTTGATGAGAAATGATGGGAAATTGAGTAAAGTTTTCAATAGGCAAAAAGGTGAACAAATGGTGGGATGAAGTTGTTCTTAATAGCCACAATTCATTGATTCAATGAAATCTTTGCCTCTCATGAACACAAGTTAGCTTTTGTTGTATTTTGCATCCAATGAATGAACATGTTATTGGGGGCTTAGCCACAAGATTCTTTTCCTTAACGGAATATAAAATTTCACCTGCAACTAAAAAAGAAAGTCCATTTTTTTTTAATAGTCCATCCTACACCTAATGATTTTAAAATAACATAATGATTCAATGAAAAAAAAGATCCGAATTAAAATTTTAATAAAAATTATATATATTAATAAAAATAAAATATATATTTTATGTTTAATGTGTTAACATAAGTTATAATATGAAAATTTTTATATTTTATATGTATTTGATATAAAATAAACACAACAAAGATATACAGATTATCAGGTCTACTCTATCATATTAGCTCCAAGTTTAGAAAGCTTCACAAATTTTATTGTTATAGTTGATTTATTTTTTTCAACTTTAGAAGGAAATTTTGGCCTGCTTGAAGACTACTAAAAGAGTCAAGACTCGTGCCAAAGACTGAAACAAATTCCACTAATTACTACGATTCTGATAGGACTTGTTGACTGGAAAATAATTTCATAGAAAGAACCAGAATCCAACATTTTATTCCAAGGCAAGACTTTATTTTTGTACAAAAAAGACGGCAAACTGAAAATAAATAAATAAATAAATTGTAAATACTAAAATTTAAATCCAAAACTCGATGAACGTCTTCTTTTAAATCTAATTTCATGAACCAACTTAACTGAATTCGGAATTCTAGAAAACAAGCGTTTTATAAGTTACCAAGGCAAGACTTTTACTAGGAAGCAAGAAACATGTTTGAACATGGTGGTTCTAGAAGTCCTTGTTCAATTTCAGGAGGTTGTAACTAAAGGAAAACAAGTATGTTTTTGCAGCAATACAGTTTAATCAGAGAAAGTAGCAATAAAGTTTAATCAGAGAAAGTTAATCAGTCATATATTTCAAGGCTAGGCTCTTAATAGTTGTCGATGAGAAGTTAAAACAAGTGAATGGTTTGAATCCATCAAACCAGGCTGATTTAGGACAATGCTGGCTGAGCAATATCCCAGATGAGAACTGAAGCAGTTTTTATGAATGTTAGCTCCGGGATACCTTGAGTCATATTCAAGCAAGTGCCACAGATGATTCGAGAACAGCCGACTTTGCTACTGATGGCATGGCATACTTCACTAAATCAGTTTAATTTGCCTATCCCTATTCTTTCAGAAGGTGATATTGTATGCATGTGTAAATCATCACTTTCCATTTCTTACATGAAAAGAATAAGAAGCATAGACAAAGCACTGCCATTTGGTAACATGAACATCAGGTTATGAACCAAAACTCAAGCCTTTTGCCACCCAAGAACTGCTACCTATGTTAGTCTAATATATGTACTCAACAAAATGCCACATTCATCACTCTTCTTTCTTCCTTCTTAACTAATAGGCCCTCCTGAAATATTAGTTCAAATAGCTCGTACCTCGTAAACCATGGTTACGAAGGTAGGGTGTGCATATACCAACTACCAGGCAGAGGCCAAAAATTCATTATTCTTATATAATCTAATCTTTGGCATATTGGGTCTAATTTTTTAATTTCTAACATTCATCTTCCCTTTCCCTTTTCCAGAAGCTATAGATTTGCATATTAGAGGGCATAAATCCTATCAACTTCAACTTCTGAATTAGAGAAGTCAGAATGATGCCAAGAATTGGATCCAGTCCTTGAACTCTTTCCCCTCTTCCTTCTAGTGCTCTTGGATTTCACCACATAGTAAGTCATGGTGCCAAGAACCCCAGCCATTATCAGACCCCCTACAACTGTGACCAAAATTGCAGCCCACTTATGTTTCCTGCTAACCACTATATAAGAGGAGGCCATAAAAGCAACCGAAGTACAGACAGAAGCCAACCACATCAACTTGTTAATCACTTTCACTACCCGTTTCTCTGCTTTGGTTTCACCTCTAACCAACGTAATTTGAACAACGACAACAGCCAAAGAGGTGAAGAGAGCAATGGCATTGAAGATGAAGAAGATTTTGAAAGGACGAGAGCTTACCACCACAGCAACTCCACTATCTAGATCTCCTCCGGGCACAGTAAATATTGCTGCAAAAGCAACAGTTGCAAATAGAACAGCCACCACAGTCACTGAATTGGTGGCATTGTTGATTCCTTCTCTGTGGAGTTTTCTAAGTTCCTTTGAAATATTATGAACATTCTTGTTGGTTCTTTTGGTTTGTTCAAGCTGTGTATGGACATCTTTCTTAATTTGCGTCACTGTCTGCCTCAACTCATCTCTTGGTTGATTCAGTTCGTTAGCTCTGAGCGCACCATAGCGAGAAAGGCAGTTCTTTATATCTGAGGACTCTGCAGAGGGGGGAAGCCCCTCAGCTATGTCAAGGGCTGTTTTATGGTCTCTGTTGAGTGCATTGACATTTGTATCAGGAAGGGACAACAATTCGTTTATTATCTGCAAGGAATGAAGAAGATTCAATAATAGGAAACTGTTTTTGTACGGAATGTAACTAAATATATAGGAAATTGCTGATACATGTAAAAAATAAAAATAAAACCATTGTATAATACATAGGCACATAAGGAGGATCCATACAGATAGATAAATAATATAGAAAGCTTAGCTTACAAGATCATACAGTCAGATATCATCACAGTTTACCACCAAGAATGATCTAATTAGTATAAAAATAAACCTTCTATAAACCATTACTAAAGAAATTGACGTTTAGAACTGAAATTTTCAGTTGAATGCCTATGTACATGACAAACTCATCTCTCTCTACATTCAACCTCATCTTTCTAACATGCCATACAAGTTAGTAAAACTATTTCAAGGATGCTACTGCTGCACACAAGTGTGCAAGTGTCCTAACGAACATAAACTTGCATTACTGTATAATCTGCCATAACAATTTAAACGATGGGTAAATTATTAAAATTCTCATAAGATGTATAACGATTAAGAAAATATATGCAGCATCATTGAGATATATGCTCTACCTCTATAGCAAGAAATGAAAAGGGAGTGAGAGAATAGTTGTACCTCTGCTCTCTTTTTCCTAGTGGCTATATGTAATGCTGTGTTCCCAAACTTGTCTGGAAGCATCACAATAGCAGCATCTGCCTCAAGAAGCAGCTTCACCACCTCACAGCTCTGTCCTTTAACAGCCATGTGCAATGCGGTCTGTCCTTTCTTGTCAGTTCCTCTTGCCAATAGTGTATCTTTGCTCAGCAAAGCTTTTACAACATCTACATGCCCCTGTCGAGCAGTTAGATGTAATGCATTTTTCCCATTTGATCTGGTACTCCTTAGCAAGCCACCATCCCTTGATAGCAGCTCATTGACTACTGCCGTATGCCCCTTGGTAGCTGAAGAGACAAGAGGGGTTGCATTTGATGGCCCAAAAGTTTGGCATAGACTAGGGTCATGATCTAGCAGCACTTGGACAATAGCTGCAAGGAAAGAATAAGGATGACTGTTCCAGCCTAGTATCCATAAAACACAACTGAAATAGGACCATCAATTCCACAACTGGCTGGCAGAAAAGCAAACTAATAATGAAGGCATGTATTTATTCACTATTTATAATCCATGTTATATGAGAAGAATATGATGGAAGATTGTTCTAAAGGTTGAAAAAGGATGGAGCCTCATCATTCTGCTTACTCAACTAATCACATATCACATGGCTATAACCCATTCATAACATTAGTACAACAGTATTGAATTTGTTGTCTTGAACATTCTAAAGAACAAATCAAAAACCTAGTTAGGTTCATACCTCCATCATAATCAACCTACAAAATTATAATCATAACAAGTTGTTTAAAGTGTATAAAACAAATGCTACAAGAAGATAACACAGCGTAAGAGGGTAGATCATTCCCAGAGGAAGTTAAATAGTAAGGCACTAATTTTACGCCTCTAAACATTTCATGAGCATGTTAATAATAAATAGCATTGCAGTTATATTTAAATTATATAGTTCCTAAAGAACTATACAACGGCAATTTTCATATAAAGAACCTATACGGTTCAGGAGAACATATGTAGCCCTATGTTTTTAACAACTTCTGTTCCCAAATAATTGTAACTTCTTTTTTTTTTCATTAACAAAAAACTTGCTGAAAGGAACTGAATTTACTATGAGATAGATTATAGATGACATTAACCAAAGGCAGTCTAGTGTGAAAGTAATGCATTTCTTTTTGGTTCTAAAGTTTCTCCCCCCCCTTCTTCCTACATTTTCCAAGCTATCAAACATAGCTTAATTGTCAACATTATTCAACAGTCTTTGACACCCTCTTGAACCAGTACTTTTACTATATGTCATCTTTGCAAGAACTCAGATCATAACTGCCCACATACAATTAAAGTACTCAACCAACCAATTAAAACCAATTACCACCAAAAGCAAAATCACATAACCAAATGCTCAAGATCATCACCGTGGTGCCCTTGGCTCGCAGCAATATGCAAGGGATCAAACCCGGATTTATTCTTCTTAGTAACAGTCTCTTTGTTTGAGTATTTTAACAACTCCTTGACAACATCAAGATGCCCTTTCTCTGCAGCAGTAAACAAGGCTGTCTCCCCCAACTCATTCACCTCATTCACCACACTTGCCTGTATCTCCGAGACCTCCATATCAAAATCTTCCCCACTCGCAGTCTTCATCATCTGTGAATCAATGT